AATCACATTTGTTCATTCTGTAAATAAATCACATTTGTTCATTCTTAAGATAAGTCATACATCACTGTTTAAAAACTCCATCCTTTTTTCATTCTCTACACTAGTTATTTATTGTTCATTCTAGGTACTCACTCTGCCATTACAGGTACTTGTGGCATTATCACAGGGATTCCCTGTGTCGAGACATTTTGGTCCAGCAGTGTTTGGGGACACGTCTCCTTCATTGGCTTGTGCAAAGGCAGCTACAAATGTACCCTGAAACAAGCAGAAGTTTTATGTACACCCACCCACTGTCATCGCACATGTAACAGTGGAAGAAACATAGGACACAGATATTTTAACATTTACTTTGTCATGTACCCAACAGTTATACAAACAGAACAAAATACTTAGTAGCCATTATGATTACTGTATCAGGTATCTGTGAAGAGTCTTGTTACAAAAACAGACTTAGCAGCACAGCAGCACATTTAACAGAGTGAGTGACGGTCTATAACTGTCAATCATTTGGTATACCTGCCCAACAATCTCATACATATAATTGAAGATTTGCTTTCACGAATAAAATCATTCGCCAAAATGCATATTTTCTTTGCGCTTACTTTGCCTGATCTAGAGGTAAAGGTTACAGTGACCTATATACAGTATACACACCTATACCTGGGTGATGAATACTACATACTAGTGTCATCCACATATCTTCAGCTCCCACAAGATTTCACAGATACTTTTGTCATTATTTTACCTTTGACCTAGAGGTGAAGTCACCTGCCTAACCAGGAGCCCATTAAAGCACACATTACATCTTTCTTTGGTGATACAGGTATACTTAAAGACTGGTTAAGATATTTTGTAATGGTTCAAAAGTTACAGCCTGGTCAAGATGTTATAAGAAGAACCAGAAGAAGCCATACTGATACAATTTGCACCTCTTTAGAAGGGAGATACAATTATGTATTAAGGACTACATACACTGCCAGGAAAGTCCTTGTTGAAGGTTTTCTCCATCAGCTGAGAAGCATACCCCTTGTTATCACTGCTCACCAATCCATTAGTGTTGTTCATACTTGTGCAATGCACTGCAAACCAGCTGTAAAAATCCCAAACTAGTTAGATATAAACAAAGATCAGATACAGTCTATTATTATATAACGCACTTATCTTTAGTTTATGGTAGTCAAAGCTGTCCACTCCCGGTCTTACTCATACAAATGTGTAGGAGATGAGGGACAGCCCCTTTCCTGAGTATAGATTCTCATCTCCACCATCTATGGATCATTTTATGAAATGCTGGTTTAAATCCACCAGTAACTTTCGGAGGAGATATTTTTGAAAGTTTTGCACCAAGTGACCCCCTAATGGCTTCACTAGACAGCCCTCCTCTGTGGTTCAGACCCTTTTAGAGTAAACATGTTGATCCTCATAATCTTAGGATCACTTAACAATACAGTTTAGAGGGAATATATTCTAATGAAAGACTTTGTGTAATTTTGTATTTTGATTAATCACCTGATCATTCCTATGTCCTTGCCTTCAGCATCCAACATCTTGAGTACTGTCATGTTCTTGTCGACATCGTACTTGTATCTGACAGTGATAAACAGAAACACTACAATCATATATTTAGAGGTAGGCTGTGGAAATGGTCATATCATTACCTTTTTATCAAATACACTAAAAAAAATTTAGCATAACATTCATGATCCTATGAAGATGGCAAAATACAGTGAACAGCTTGACAGAAGGATATGCTTTGTGCACCCTATTCTGTACTTCAACTAAATAAATCTTATACTACTCTCCTTTACAGGTAAATGATGTGTAATTAAGGTGAGAAGTTCAAATGTGTTGAACTGAAGGTGAAAAAAAGATGTCATGTTCCCAGGAAGATATGACACAATCTTAGCAGATAATGACATGTGCAGGACAATATTGGTCAATCCAGGATATGACCCATTCACCGCTAGCAGTATCACACATGCAAAACAATCAATACCACAGAAAAGTATACGATAAAGAATGATATCAAACTGATACTGAAATTTAAAATCTATGCAAGTATTACACTGTTATCATTTATTTTTTCTATTGATGTGTTATTATAGTTACCTTAA